ATTCTGAAGATGACATATAAACCAAAAAGCAATCATGCCATCTCTTCCTAATGACATTATTCCTCGCTACCCTTTTCCCTTCTTTCACCATTCCCAACATAAAAATCAAACCAAAAAAGGGTTTAAAAACAATAAGACTGCATCGCTCATGACCCATTAGGTGTTGAAAACCACACATTACATGATGGCACCGTTTTGCGCATGTGTGTTTGTGTCACAGGAAATAGAGAGGCATAGTTGACTAGTCCAATGGATCAAGTGAAAGAACTCAGAATCCCAATGAATTTCATCCACCTTTTACTTCTTTTTGTTCTTGCTGAGGATCAATGATGGTTAGGGGTTGCCGATGGAAATTTGTCCTGCATAAATTGTACTCTCATTGCAGAAGAGGCGTTTTATTGATAATTACTCGTCTTCCTTTTATTTCTATCTCGCTCTTTCCCAAAAACTTTAAGCTTGTACGTTATAGCAACTTGTCATTAATTTATTTGCAAGGCGATATATAGTAGAGTATTCATTTGAAACATTCATTACCGTAGCACTTTTTGTGATGTGATATATGTGAAATACAAAGATATTTAGAAAGATAAAAAGATGATTGAAATTTATGAAATAAATTATTTTACTTCAAATGTTGTTTGTCCAAACACACTCTTTTTCAGTTTGTAACTTTCTCTGTTTTGTACTTCTCTACGTAAATTGTTAATCTACATGCTATTTATAACTATGGCATCCATTCTGAAAGAAAAAACTTCACGCTACATTCTCTGTAGTAGATTATAATTTCGCCCTTTTGAAATTGATATCTTTTCATTTTTTATTAGACGATTAAAATTTTGTTCTTAAATAATACTTATTTAACAGATTGAATGAAGTTTCATCGTAAGAGCCAACGAAAATTTGGTCTAATGATTAAAGTTTAGACTCTAAAATGTAGAAGTTCAAGATTGAAATTTCCCTTTTTGTCTCTCCCACTTCTTGAATATCAAATTCCGTTCCGTTCCTCCCCTGCTAACATAGCAAGGACAAGGAAAGTCTAGTTGAAAGCAAATGTTTGCCATTCACAACAAAGAATCACGTGCTAATAGAATAGACAACAGAAACAGCTGAGTCTTTAACCACATTGGTAATAATAGTACTTTGCAAACAAATTTATTCCCTGTGTATGAATTGTATTTCTAACTTTACCACACATCAAAATAAACTCGGTTTAGCAATTTTAATTTAATTAACTAGTCAAATTGAAAGGGAAGGGAAAAATATAATCCCAGGCATGCTATGATCATTGGAACTACCCCGAATCTAAGGCACTGGTATGGTGTACAACATAGGAGTAGTAGATATAGAGGGTGAGGAGTCGTCTTTCTTGATGTAAAACTTCAATGGCTATACAAAATGAAAATCGCAATGAAACGTATGGCCTACTTGTATAATCGAGATTGCCTAAGCTTTACTCCATACCCTTTAGCAGGTAACCAACATACACTTGGAAAGGCCAGGATCAAGAAAAAGAAATGAAAGTATTGTGTGCTCTTAAATGGTACCATATATTTGACATGATAGCAAAAATAGACTTTAAAATTAAAACAAGGTCGATTTCTAATGTTGCTTTGATCTCATTTCTATCAAGTTTCGTGACTTTAACAGTTAACAATAAACTTTCAAAATTTTAATAAGGATATGCTAAAATGACTGTGACACTAATTAATTAGATTCATGATGCCCCATTAGCTTAAATTAAAGCTTGATTATGAAATTCGTCCATTTTTTTTTTACATCATATGAGGTAAGGGTTCCTGTTGCAATTAGCAGCATAAAAGCTTAATTTAGTTTATTTTTCTTGATCTAATTGGTAGGTGAACCAATAGGAAATCGACACGGTGGACCCGTTTACTTAATGTAATTCTTCTCCTTTACAATGCAAAACTCTTTTATGTTTGTCATATGTCAAAGAGAGTGAACGTGAAGCATGCAAGGGAAAGGAATGAAGTACATTCAAAAGTCACTCGCACTTTCACTAGTAGAAGACTAGTGGGCTATTCAAGGCGAGATTGTTTGCCCTTTCTCTTGCTAAAACGTGGAGAGCCGACGAATAATGGTTTTATGTCAGCAATCATTAAAGTTGGCTTCCTTTGGCCTCAACTTGAAAGTATTACTGCCACTTGGATATTATCATCCCTTGATTGTAACTTGACCTGAGGAACGGGTTTTGAGATTTTCCATCCTCTCTTCTACCATAGACGACATTGCACCGTTTTTTATCAATTAGGCACCTCTGCTTCCCTATTTCGCCTGTTTATATCAGGATTGCTCAGAAAATCCATCTTGCTGTTGCGCTTGCCATGAAGGATAAGACCATATGGCACTTGATCTCATTCACTTTTTCTTTTGTGAGGGTGTACTGTTTCTAGTTCTAACACCCTTCTGCTTCGAGCGGGCCAAAATTCATCCAGCATCTGCGTCCTCTTCTTCTAACACGTATATTTGGTCCCTTCTTTTTTTGGCTGCTGAGATTTTGCCACCTGCATTAACTTATGGAACGTCTCTATTATGAGAGCACATATAATTTTGTTATGCATATTACAAGTTATATGTATATATATAAATAGTCATGACCTAGACAGTGATAATCAAGAAATACAAAATATCATGAAATGAATGATCGATCCCTTCTCTTTGCTCAATCAATAATATAATCAATAGGGAAATGAACACTACTATCAGGGGCAACGAAAAAGCTTCCTATATATTTGTCACACATCCAAAAGGGGTATAGAATAAATACACTAAGTAAGTAGCATGCATTGTATTTCATTTCATGGTGCGAAATAAATATGACATGACCGTATCCGCTAATGATGAAAATTATACAAATGATTAATAAAGGTTTCACAAAATAATTATTCTCCCAAACACATTACTGTACTGTCACTCCTACCAGAAAGTGAACTCCAACAATCTCCACCTTGTTGTTGGACCAAATAATGTTTCATAATTTACAATTCCAAGAATCATTGGCAAAAAATGCCATGCAGTGTTGGGATTCTAGAACTTCGATCGGCATCGACTCGAGCTGCCCACCCACGTAATATTAGCGTCTGTAACTTTAGCTTCACTTCTGAATTACTTGTAAATACTATAAAAAGCAATCAAGAATGAGAATAATTATTATATATAAACTAAGTAATTCTTGTGCACTTTTTCCTCCAATTGAGCAAAAGTGCTGGGATGGATTAACCTGCCGGCACGCACAAGCACTTAATTTCACGTATTATAATAAATTGCATACGTGGCATTCAGCTCAAGTACCCCAACTCGGAAGGTGGGCCCGTAATTAAAAAAAAAATAGCCGAATTGGGGAAGGATAACCCCGTGGGGCCCACCTCGCACAAACCGGCCTGCTTGTGAACTCAATGATCAAAGAGTTAGCCCACGCCGGGCCGTTAGCCGCCACGTCCAACGAAGGCCCGAGAACAGAGACGGAAGCTCACATCATTCCGTTGATTGGGCCCCGCAGTCCAACATCTCAACGGGGTTCAAGTCAAGCTTAGGCTCACACTCGACCTGCCTTTTTTTTTAAAAAAATATATATATATATCATAACGGCTAAGCCGAGCCGAGGTAGAAGCTAGTTTTGCCCTTTTCAATTTCCTTTTTAATTTTTGTTTCCAAAAATATTTTTTAATTGATTTTCTTGATCATTTATAAAGGTGAGCGTATTTGGAGAGAGGTCTCCGTCGTAGTCGATTGGGTCGGTCTGTGGGGCCTACAACTAGTGAAAGGGAAATTGTAAAAAATTGCAGACCAACCAACCTGAGTCTGCCTACGGTTGCCGGTCGGGGCTTCAACATATAATTTATTATCTAAAAAATCCCTCTCCAAAACCTAGGAAAGCTTCTTCCACACCAATTTTAGTTTTTGATTCTCTATGAAATGTACTTTGAGTACCCTTGTCTTTGCTAAATTAATACTTGTTTAACTCGCAAAAAGGTAGCTGTTGTGGAAGAGGGTGTAGACCAATCAGCTTTTAGTTTCTGACCTTTCTTCGTGATGTTGTTGTTTTTTATACAGGTTGGCGTGGTCGAACCACATGGAACCCCTTATAAGTTTATGAAATTGCATTTTTAACTTCAGTAGATATATATATATATATATATATATATATATTTTTTTCCGCCTTGGATTACCACAAGGGGCAGCCTTAGACCTTGTTTTGATTTTCGCAGCATGCGGGTAAAACTCTAAAATGATTGGGATGTTACAGTGCGGAGTGTTTTATTGTACACAACACAGTTTCTTGCATCAAGAAATGTACAGTCTCTTTTGTTTCTTAAAAATATTTTGTTTGGCATAGACTTTATGGAAATATCAACTCATTGTGCATAGAGCGTGCTTAAAGGAGGTTCCCATTGTTTTTCGGGAGTCGGAAAATTGTACCCTTGAAAGAGAAATAGAAGCCAAAAAACAAAAATGATAATTGAAAACACTACACGAAAATTTTTTGCATACGTTCTTAGGCAGTAAATGGAGTTTTCTCACGGGTATTCATCGTTACACATTATCAGAGTCTCGTAAATTGAGTTCCGTCTAATTCAAATCAATTCGTATAATTTTTATTATATATGGTGTAAATTTGTATAGTTTTGATGTAATTATCAATTTAGTTGTATGCATTAACACATTCAAATTTACATTTATATTATATGAGTTTACATTAAAAGTTATAATAGTTATACTAACTAATTTGAATGGAACAAAACTCAACTTATGAGACTCTAATCTATACATGAAGCTACCTTAACTTCACCACCTCCAACCCCACCCCCCTCCCACCTCCCAAAAAAAAAAACTTATTGTTGGAAAAAAAATTACTAGAAGAAGATTATTATTTTTTTTTAAAACAAAAGTAAAAGCATGAGTTAGTCTTTGGTCGGGTGGGTGTGTTTGTGGGGAGGGCTTTAAGAAGACCTAATGAAGCATGCCGTCAGATTCTGACGCTCTTTCACCACCGTCTGTGTGTCCCCTAAGCCAACCTCATCGATCAGTTGTAGTATTTTGTAGCTGACAAAGCTAATAGCTTGTGTGTTTTGGTCTCTATCAGTTGCTGGTGGGAGGTGGTGGAGTAATCAATCGCCACCATTTTCTCCGCCTCCCTTTTTTCCCGCATTAAAGCTTTTCCAGCAATCAAGCTCATAGCAATATGCTCAAAAAGAATGCATCCCTAGTGTGAGAAACATATAAATACGTGCACAAGCTGAGAGAGGTAGAAAGAGAGAGAGAGAGAAAGGGCAGTTGAAGAGGGTTCTTGAAGAGGTATAGCGTAGCATAAAATGGACAACAAGCCCATTTTGTTTGCTTGATTTCAAATTTGCTTCTTTTTTTCTTGGTTGATTACCATATTCTTTCTTCCTTCTAACTTTTCTCTCTTCTTTTTCTTTGGGATCTGATCATTCTTGACAACAAGAAGACAAAGTTTGTCAGGTGTACAACCAGAATTTGAGCATACTTCAATTCCCGAGGAAAACCCTTTTGTATCAAACATTCTTTCTAGGCTTTTCTTTTTCTGTCTGCTTCAGTGGGCTCAAAAGTTGCAAGAGAGTGACGAGCACTTCCCAGAAAAAGAATTTTAAATGCTTTCACTTGACTGATTGGTTGGCAAGAAGTTTGGATTCAATTAAGAAACATTTTCCGAAGAATTTTTCAGTACTTTTAAAGGATTCTCGAGGTTGTCTTCTTATCCTCACAACTCTTCAACCTTCTTCTGATGACAATCTTGGTTCTTATTAGATTTTTTGGCTGCCTTGGTTTCAAAAGCCATGAATGCCATCTTTCTTTCATCCTTGTTGAAGTTTTTGCTTTCCCCAACTCTTGTAGCTAACCTAAAAGGAAAAAAAAAAAAAAGAATTGTAGCTAAAGCTTTTAGTCTTCAAGGATGGCTTTTCTCCAAGTATGTCGATTAGACGGTTTCATATGTTGATCGAGGCTTTTCATGCTTGTTTTTTGTTGTTAATTTGTGCTGTTATTGTTACCATCTTTTTCTTTGTTATCCTTCGATTTAGTTGATAATCTATGTAGGAAGGTTAAAAAAAACTAAACTTTAGTCTCAAATAGTGGACATAAGGATGCATGATGCTATGAGTAACAACAGATCCTTGGAGGATAATTGAAAATTCTTGATGATAAATCATTCTTTTTCATTTACTGCCTGTTATGCCTATGTATGCATCATCTGTGTCTTCTTAAAAAGTAAAGGCAATAAAAATTTTTGATTACGCATTATTCCTAGCTAGTTTCACTTTATGAGTGGAGCAAACGCCTTTTCTATGCCAGTTTTCGTTCAGGTTTCAAGCCTCAAGGAAAAGCAAACTCGAGTACTCGTACCTACATCCTCCAAGCACCAATAACTATAATCAAGCTCACATTTTCGCCTTGGAGTTTCTTGTCTTCTTCCTCCAGAAATCACATATGCAGTACATGCTGGTCATTTGAAGTTCTTGGTCATATATGGTTTGTTGAGCCTGTATTTTGATAACTTGATTTTAAATAATTAATTTTGCCACATGATTTTTTGAATCAATCTGATTTTTTCAAATATATATATATATATATATATATATATATTAAAGAGATAAGAATTAATCCAGATTTTGATCCATTTCTTAACCGTCAAAACCTTTAATTTGATTGGGATTAAGGCCTCAATACAGTTTAGCTTCTAGACATGCTTATGTTTGCCAGATTTATCCAAGCTTTCATTACTTGGTGGCTTGCACAGGAAGAACCAGGAGCTTTTATGTTTTTAGGGCACATAATCATATGTTTTTAGGGCGCATAATCATATAAACTAAAGCATTGTTTTCTCAGGCCTTTGTTAATAGAAACTAATTTTAACTTGCAAATTAGAAATACACATAATTTTTCTTTTCCCACTAAAATAGGGCTTATTAATGTACTTCAATATATGCAACTTCTTCTTGCTCATCTTTGTCCGTAATACTTGTTGTATTTTGCCTCTTAAATTCCTTTTCCAAGTACAAATGGATTCCATGCTCACTCTTTTCACCATCCCAGTTAAAAGTTTTTATGATTTTTACAAAGTTTTCGTGGTTTTCATTCTTAGCAAAAGTATTCCAAAAATTTTGCGATTGTCTGTACACTCCTAACTGGTACTCATGTTCTGTGCTCAGCAATGACTGTTAGTCTCCTTTGCTAGCCAGTACAAGTCCATTCGGAGCCTTTTAAGATTTTTTTACCAATGTCACTGTAAATTTAGTGTTACTCTTGTTTCGACTGCAAAGAGCTATTCATAATAATTAGAAAATTAAGAGAGATTTCTTTCTAAAGTTTCTCTTCAACCATATATATGTTCCCTTCTTCCTCTAATTTTTCCTTGGTTTCTGCTTGTGTAAATTCGATACTTCTCCTTCTCAATTTCCTATATAGTTTTACATCGTGGATAAAAGGATAACAGACAACCTTTTACTTAAAGTATAGTTTTGGTGGAATTTTTGGCGCCTCCTTTTTTCTATGAAGACAGTTGTGTCTGTACCTCCTCTTTTTGCACAATGCTAATTTCAAGCAAACAACTATAATCTCACGTTCTCCTTCTATTGTAGAAAAGGCTTTAGGCTTCAGAAAATATTTCTCTAAGAGTTGCTACCTCCTTGTTGATCAAAACTTTGTCTAATATCGTCCTTTTATCCCATTTGAGACTACTGGCAAACAGTTTCTCCATTTGAAGTGTGAATGTGATCATTCATCTGTTTCTTTTCACTCTACGCACTCTTTGATCGCTTATGATTTGGTGTAGATGATGTCCATTCAGACAAAAGTACTCCAACTCCCTCCAATCTGACTAGTATTTTTCTTTTTATTTTTTGGAGAAGTTAGCTAACTTGGAATGAATGTTCATTTCTAATAGTTCCATATTTTATGCATCAATCACATTTCTTAAACTTATTTCTGGTATCCAGTATATGAAACATATAAAAGTGCAGAAACTTGAACAATGAATGAAGGAAAATTTTTGTGTTTTCGGTGGTAAACGGATTCTTACTTCCCAGCCTTGGAGATTTTTTGCGTTAAGTCATCTTCATTTTTTGAATAACATTGCAAGTGAACATATAATTGTCATAGGTAGTAGAAGCTTTTTGCCAAGTTGCATACTTGCATTAACCTTGGTAACACATTTCATAGCTTAGTTATCAATTGAGAGATGGCAAAGTAAGATGCCTCCCTTTTTCTTTTTACATTTCTCTATGCTAATGTTGGTGTTGCCACGGCTAATACCTTCTCCTTGTCCAATGCAGGTCTTCCTCTGCACTTGAAAGAACATGAATACTTTTTCACACGTTCCTCCAGGTTTTAGATTCCATCCTACAGATGAAGAATTAGTTGACTACTATCTACGGAAGAAGATTGCTTCAAAAAGAATTGATCTAGATGTAATTAAGGATGTTGATCTTTACAGAATCGAACCATGGGATCTTCAAGGTAGCATTTATTTATCAATTTTGATGATGATTTTCTAAATTCAGGAGAAAACCCTCACTCATTGTCCTGAAATTTTTATTTGAACAGAACTTTGCAAGATAAGTACAGAGGAGCAGAATGAGTGGTATTTCTTTAGTCATAAGGATAAGAAGTATCCAACTGGAACACGCACTAATAGAGCTACAAAAGCAGGATTCTGGAAAGCTACAGGAAGAGACAAAGCTATTTACTCTAAGCATAGTTTAATTGGCATGAGAAAGACCTTGGTATTTTATAAAGGTCGAGCCCCAAATGGACAAAAATCAGACTGGATAATGCATGAATACAGACTAGAAACCAATGAGAATGGGACTCCTCAGGCAAGTATTAAATTTAGACTAATACATCCGAGATGCCTGCTTAACTTGCAAAAACTATAAAAGAATATATCATACATCAGCATTCCATTTCTTCTGCATGGCAATTTCCTCCATGCCCTTAATTAACAATTATCTCTTCAAAAAAAGATGTGTATATCTTGATGAACAAAACCTTTTCCGAAATAAAATTTCAGCTCTCTCGATTCCATGCATCAACTGTTTTTTCTTTCTTTTTTTTTCTCCCGGAAATACTTAGATACTAAATTCTGGGGTTAAACCTGTTGACCCAGATGATGGCATTTATCTGGTCTGCATGTTATTTGAAAACAAAGTTCAGGAGAATAGTTTTAAATTTAGCCGCTTCTTTATGTGCTGATGTTTTATGATCTAATTCTCAATTCCTTCTTTAAACCTACTTCAGGAATATTCTCGTACCATTTACATGTCCTATATATTATACCTGTAGCCTTCTTTGCCGTCATGAAAATGGAAATAACAAATGCATCGCATCAGTTTGTTCTTTATTTTATCAAAGGACGACCTGTGCTTAATCTATTTTGAGACCAAAAAAGACTTTAAGCCTAATACAAGATGTTTCTGATTGAACCAGGAAGAAGGATGGGTTGTGTGTAGGGTGTTCAAGAAGAGATTGCCAACTGTACGGAAGGAAGGAGACCTCGAGTCACTATGTTGGTACGATGATCAAGTTTCTTTCATGCCCGAATTTGACTCTCCAAGGCGGATACCTCATTCATATTCATCATACAATCCTCAGTATTCCTGCAAGCAAGAGTTTGAACTGCAAAACAACATCCCCCAGGATGTATTCCTCCAGCTTCCTCAACTTGAGAGCCCTAGAGTTCCACAGTCGATCACCAATGTAAGCTGCAGTTTAATGGTACCATACGGTTTTGATAGGAGCAGTGGAAGCATTTTACAGTCTTCAACCCTTGCACATGAAGCACCACATCTGCAACAAAGCCACCAACCCCAAATAGTTTACATTAACAACACTGATCAAGGTGTTGAACAAGTGACTGATTGGCGAGTTCTCGACAAGTTTGTCGCATCTCAGCTAAGTCATGAAGATGCAGCAAAGCAGACTGCCTATTCTGATGGACCTTCTTCACTTCAAGTGGCAGAACACATGAGCATGCTAGTGAATGATGAATCAAAGCAACAAGAAATGACGTCACCAGAATTTGGCTGTGTATCCGCCCCGAGTCCTCAAGTGATCTTTGGAAGTAAGAATATGTTAATTTAACTACAATTACATATAGTACTAATCAGTCATAGGAAGGTACTACAAATAGAAGAAAGAAATGTGACAACAGTTTCTGTACATAATAAATTGCTAAGTACTACTAAGTAGCTATTTGGTTGCTTGTACACAATGTACTAATGTTCAGAGGCATATATAGGTTCATGAGAGACACCTACTAATAAGTATATATGGATGCGTATATGGTTTGTAAGCTATAAGTGCTGGTGACACTACTACTGTGGGATTGTTGAATATGTTTCCTTTTATTGAGGTTCAACAAGCACTTAAATGGTTGCTTTTTGCAACTTTTGAAGTTTATTTTGGGTTTTTCTCTGTCCAAAAATGGAATCTTAATTACAGATACTCAATGGCATCATTCCTTCTTTTGTATATTTTCTAACGTTTTATCATATTATTCTCTCTTTATTGAGATGTTCATGAATTGAAATTACTGAAAAATATATAGAAAAAACGAACAACTCAATCACAGCATGCAGCACAAGCAAGTTGCGACACAGTCTAAAAACAAAATGATGCAGGTTTTCTTCTTTTATTTTTTTTCATCCTTTTCCTTGGGGTTATCATGAGTCGAAATACTGAGGTACTAGGCAGAAGAAGGTGTGCATCTTTGAATTTCGCGTAGTTTCTTTCTATGAATAAGAAAATCCAATAATGGGCTACTATTAACTAGAGAATGCAGAAGGCATGGTATTATTTCCCCCGGTTTATACAAGCAGATGACTTCAAACTACTAGAGCAAAAGCAAAAGGTTTTCGAATTACCTGTAATTTTTCTCCACGACATGCTTCAAGAGTGCTATTCTTAAGGCTTATTATCCTGTTTTGACAATAAACTCTTAAAAATGCATGTGGACAACCAATTTCCATGCAGACAGAAGAATGATCCACATGTCGATGCTTTACTAGGAACTTCTATTACATGGCTCGTGGATTTTACTAGAGGGCATACCTCCTCAAGGACCAAACAATTTCGGAAAATACTGTTCTAACAAGAGATTGTGCATACAAGTTTGCAACTTTAGCCGGTGTAACTCCTGTACAAAAGCCATTTCTTTTATGTTACTATCACCAAACAAAAGTTCTAGCAATGAAATTTGATTGTGGAATCTGGCGAAGAATAACTTGCTAGACAAGTAGAAATGCATGCGTTTTGTACCATCCGGATGAACACAGCCCCAAAACCCCCTTGATCGCCTAAATGTTTCATGCCAGAAGACTGTCAATTTGGATGTTTGTACGGTCTCTCAAAACTTGTCAAATACTTGTTCGATGGATGAAGTTCACAAATATGGAGTAATAATTGTGATGAGACATTCTTATTCACTGGGTATAAATAAACATGACCAGACTATCTATCTGCTAAAACTTTGGAAGTTGATATGGTATATTAGCGCTGCAAGGGAAGCCATGGCCTTATTGGTAAAATCTGAGCACTTGGGAAGGAAAAATAGTTTGAACACCACAAGAGACAGGAAGAAAAGAACGAAGTATTTACTTTCCTGCTGAAGAAATTTTTTTTAACGAGGCCTAAACTACCCGAAAAGTAGTCTCTCGTGGTGTTTTGAGTTTGAAAGGAAAGAGTTGGAGATTCTGTAAGGTCAAGAATCAGGGAACTAACTAAGGTAGACAAAATTTGATCGAGTTGGCTTTTAATACTTGGAAAAAGAGACTTGTAGTTGTTTTGTTCATTATTATGCAATGAAAGTGAGAAACAAGAATTATCTTTCTTGTTTGACCTGTAACATCATTTTTACTTGGCTTGAATTCATGCTTGAAAGTACCTTTCAAGCAATGCCAATTTCACAGCAGACACAATAAGTGAGCGTGCTTTCATGGGCTCATAATTCTCTCTCTCTCTCTCTCTCTCATGTTGAGCGCTGGCTTGCTAGGGCAAGATCGAGGGCCAGTGGGGTTATGGTAGAAAAAACCATTGAGGGAATTAATTAAGTTGAATGGCTATTCTTAATAGATTGTTCATGCAATATCCCGTATAGGCTATATGTGAGGAAGGCATTAGTTTCTCTTCACTTCTTAGTTTAACTCATTTAGCTCTCACTTTTAACAGTTGTGGAACATTTGTCCATTTGGAATTTTTTTCCCCGAAGTGTTGAATATTTTACTTGTGCAGTCTCTTGATTAGCTTTAAAGAATGATAAGTAATGGTGTCACTAAGATTTCTGCAAATTTCAGGAGGAAGCAAGTCAAGCCATGCGCACTGATGCATTGCATGTGAAATGTGTGGCCATATTATTAGGGTTACTAAACACATTGTCTGCAGGCCAAGAAATTGCAAGTGCCTTTGAATTGTGATTGACTATATTATAATAAAATTCCATGTGGGCATGTATCATTTGTCTGCCTTTTTACTCCCCAGATACCAGACCTTTGCTGGCCCTCAATTCCTCACGTTAAGGATAGGGATTCGTGGATTAGAACCCAAAAAAAAAAAAAGGTGTACCTCTCTGTGTACGAAGACTGTCTTTTGTAGTGCGTATAATATATGTACTTTCATATTCCTATACTCTGAAATATTAATGGTCGTCGTCTCTCGAGTATGCAGAATGAAAGGTACTTATAATATGTCTTACCTCAGTCTATAATGCTTAACTCAATCTTTAAAAATAAAGTTCCAGTGCTTCCTTTCTTCTAGTCAGGTAAAAGATCGACCTGATTAGATCAAAATGGTACTCTTTGAATTTTTTTCAAGATAGATAGATTCGAACTCCCAACTTATAATCCACCATCTTTAGTGGTCACTGAGTCACGACTCAGTGGTTTAGGCGAAAGATGACTTCTCTTCATAGGTAATGACTACTCTTAATTTCAACTATGCATAAATTGCCCTTTTCGCTAACCTATTTCACGCACATTAGATGAAAAAGAAGAAGAGAGAGAGACAAACTAGTTTATGCTTTCTTGGTAAGTATTTTTACTTTGTCATATCCTCGTGATTAACCAACGAGATTTTTTGCTCTAAAGTCGAAAAAAGAATACCGATGAGGCTTTGGCTCAAAATTCAAATAAAATTCCTCAATCATCTGCTAATGAAACTACGGTTTAGTCATGACAAAACAACTACAAATTAGAGTTGGAAAGTTAAAAGGTGATATGATACAGCTCTAAGCAAAAAAATGTCACTTTTAGTATCCAGTATTATATTGACTTTTTTCTCTTGTAATTGTGCGTGGATTTGTACCTTATGCTTCTAGTTCCGTGAAAAAAAATTTTCCTCATTCAGTTTTCTTAACATTGAAAGGCAGAATTCCATGGCCCATAGTTGCTGCAAAATCTTTATACTTACTGACCTTCAAATTTTGGTACAGGCCGATGTCTATTTTGGCCGCACTGTCCAATTTCATTTAAAAAAAAAAAAATTGTCAATGAAGTTCAAGAATCACCATATGATTCAAGGGAATGCCAGTGCATGAGTTCAAAAAATGGTACTCTACGAGTTCATGATGAAGCTAGCCAAGTCAATTTAATAAGTTAAATACACCTTCATACTAAAGCTGGTACTGCTTGTCATTAATTTTTATACAATTTGCAACACTTTTGAGAACTTAATTTGAGGAAATGCCAAATAATTTTGGTTTAATGGTCAAGAGATTCTTAATTCAAGTATAGAATTTATACGTGAGTTTGTTTTAACTATATGCATGTTAGTAATTGGCACAGTAATTTTTCAGTTGTAATCTGTTTTGCGTTGCCCAATTGTGGATTTCGTTCAAAAAGAATGAAGCATACTCAAACGAATTGATAATAAGTAAGTGCATGGCATGGGATACAAATGGTACAAATGAGATACTAGTTGTATGGAATAAACAGTAGAACAAAATCCAGAATCAAAAGAAGTGCAATATATTTTTCAACAAACAATCTAATATATATTCACTACCCTAGACAAATTGATCTAATAACTTTCTCTTTGATTGTAAACTCTAGTTGATTTGTACAGACGTATAACTACACAGCATACTCAATGAAGAATATTATTCAAACTAATGAAAGATAATATATTCATGCTACAGTCCAATTGCATTTAATTAAAAGAAATCAAATTATGCCTTCTCCAGATGAGTTTGCATCCTGAGTAAGTACATTCAAATGCCTGCTCAGTTTTCCTACAGATGGAAGAATTGCTAAGTAGGAAATGTTGTAATTTATTCGCCTTAAACTTTCTTTTTTTTCCTTCAATTTCATTCAGAAATACTCCAGAAATTATTATAGTGTTTGTCCTATCCTAGAGTCCCTATATATTCAGTCCATTACAATGTCATCCAGTATATACTTGTCCGTATATGGTTGGAGTATCCTCTTTTTTCTTTTATGTTGTTAGGAAATACGACTAAACTGGTAGTAAAGTGGATATGTTTTATGAGCAGTAAAAAAGTTTTGACACAAAAGCGATGATAATTGTGGAAATAGACTTGACAAGAAAAGAGGGCACAATGGCTGATGGGAAACTCTTGAGAGGAGTCCACAACGGGGACAGCAGTTTCTGTGTTGGGGAATTGCTGGTGCACACTTTATCTATGAGAATTCAACAAGTAAAGACGAAGCAATTTGATTGAATTCTTTAATCATTAGAGCTATGGCTAGCTACGAGCCTTGACTTGCAGGTTGACACATCATATGCTTCTTGCTTATCCCTTCTAACTATGTGCAAGACTTGGAGCCCGATTGGATTGAATTCTTCGAAAAATTTTTTAAAAAAATATTACTAGAACACATTTTATAAAATATGATATATATGTAACATAAAAAATGATTAAAAATATGAAAAGAAATCTTTTCATAAAAATCTAAAAATTTTACGGTAAGAGATAGCAATCCAAACAAGGCTGTCCAACAAAATAGCAAAGAAACACATGCCACATCGATAGTAAGACCGGAAGTAGTATTCACACTCTCAAATTTGTCTCTTACAATTTAATTTACGCATTGAATAAAATACCGTCCAAGAGTACTGTGAGAGGGTAATTTGGAAGTGTCAATAATATCACCTCCAAAGACAGCTACAAACGTTTAATGCTACCAACAAAAATGGATAACTTTAAAAATCAAGGTTCCCTTCAAGTTTAATTACGTTTACCTCCCTTGGCAGTGACATAAATTAATAAGCTCTACAAATTAATAAGCTCTACAGTAATGGTGTTGAATTGAGTCGGGCACAATTGATTTGATATTTTGCAAGTGCGGTTACAAATGGAATTTTTGCTATGATCACTTACACTTTTCTTTCATAATGTGTATAACAACTCTCTAGGTGTGTTGTTAATTCTTGC